CTAGTTTTAATCAAGAAAGGACTTGTATTGCTGAAGTTTTTCGGAAAGAATTTCTATGGGAAATTAACGAACAAGCAGATATGCAACAATATGATACTGTTTTGTCAGAATGACTTATCAGCTCTTTTTTTGTATTATATATGATACTGTGTTGTACCATTAATAAATTCTCCATATAGTTACCATTAATCATTGTTTATGCCTCTTGCATGTTTATACATTTCCTAATTATTTCCATTACTTTGTATCTGTATATCAATATCACTTCTGAATGAATAGATCACTTGTACACTACAATAACAATACAACCTGAATTAAGGAACATTTTACTTTAATCACTAAAGAAATCCTGCCTTTTATAACGTATAATTTCTTATTAAAATACTATATAAAATGTATTTGTACTAGACTCATTATATATGAACTAAGTTTAAAAATGTGCCATAAAAAGTATAAAGAATTAACATTACTTATGAGGGAATTTCTTCTTTTTCAAAAGAGGCTTAAAATATTCACCTTCATGTTCATCAAAATAAGCAATCAAGTTCTGTCCATCTACTCCAGGCTCAATTGCATTGTTCAAATTCTATGTGATTAATACAAGCATGTACAAGTTTCAACAAATCATACTGGTAAAAAGTATTACAAGTTTATAATTTACACCGTTCTCTTAAAATTTTAATTAAAAAAGTTAATGAATCATTTATAAAAAAATATTTCTAGATATGACATATTCCAGTTCTATACTTGAATGCAATTCATACATACAACTACTCAATGAGAAAAGATTATTAATATGTATCAAAAAATTTTTTATTTTTTATTTTTGCAAATCTGTTAGTCCTTGTGGCATATTTATTCTTAGTCAATAAATACAGGATAATAATGTGGCTTACAATACCTATACAATACAAGTGCAGTATGTTTCCTTTATGGAAAACAAAAATTAAAATAAATAAATCTATGTATGTCTAGTAAAAAAATTTACAGTAAGAAAATCTGTTAAGATTATGGAGTTTTATTTAAAGCACATTTGTTAATACTTTATTCCTTTTTTAAATGAAGCTGCTGTAGTTCATAAGGTATTAACCATAATGCTCTGCTACCTAAAGGCTTTGGGATTGTAGAAACTTAGTCTCTTAGCAACTGAAAGCAGATGGTTAAGACCAGTGTAGGTGTAAGGCATTCACAGTTTGTTAGGTGTGATGGGTGTAGTGAGTGGGTTTTATTTGGCTACTCAGGACTGGTATGTACTTTTAAGAAACTCAGTAGTAGTGGAGATGTACAATTTGTATGTTCAAGGAGAAGTTGGAGGCTATCCTTATTAAACTAATTACTTACATTTGCTGATGATATTAAGGTCTTGGGTGTTGCTAGCTGTGAAAAAGCTGCTGCTGCTGCTTTACAAAAGGATTTAGATAATTTAGTGAGCTTGGCAAATAAATGGAAGATGGGTTTTAATTAGAATAAATGCAAGATAATGCATGTGGGTTATCATAATTTGAATTATAAGTATAATTTGGATGGAAATAACCTTAACAGTGTCACAAAAGAAAGGGATCTTGGTGTAATGGTTGATCACCATCTTAAGCCATACAAGCAGTGTGCTGTTGCTAGTGGTAGTGCAAACAGGATTTTAGGTTGTATCTACAGAAGTATTGAGTACACTTCTAAAAAGATTACAATTTCATTGTATAATGTACTGGTTGGGACACATTTGGAGTATTATGTTCATTCTTGGGCTCCAAACCTTACAAAGGACATTGAATTGTTGGAAAGGGTTCAGAGGAAGGTTACTAGAATGGTGCCTAGGATTGATGGGTTATCATATGAGGAGAGTTTAAGATCTCTGAAATTGTTTTCTCTTGAGAAAAGAACAGTTAGGGGGGGATCTGATTGAGATGTTTAAGATTGTTTCATCTTTTTTTCATAGTTAATGGTGAGAACTAGGAGACACAAATATAAATTTGGACAATGTAGGAGTCATCTTCAGCTAAGACAGTTTTATTTTTTAACAGGGTGGTTGGCCTTTGGAATGGGTTGCCTTTGGATGTTATGGAGGCAGTAAAGTTAACATTTTTCTTACACTGAAAATGTATCTCCTATAGGTACTTACCTCAATCTTCATCTGTCCTCTAAGCACTGCTAAAACATTTTTATGATCAATGCACCATTCTATACACCCCATCAATTTCACGCCATTTCTGAACATGTAAATATCATGTGAGTACTTTCCACCAATAGCATTGCACCACCTATATTGTCACAGCTAGCTCTCTCTGCTATTCCTGCTCTGTCCCCACTTTTGAGAATTGACAGGCTCTAAAAGAAGAACATCAGCCATGGGGAGGAAAGGTGGGAAGATACAATCCAGCATAGATCTTCACCCTTGAAGTAGGAAATGAATATGATAAAGGCAGAAAAAAAAAGGATGTGCACAAATGCAGTTCATTCTGAAAGATGCAAACCATAATAAAATATAAATAGAAGTATCAATGTACATATACAACCTCAACCAGACAGACGAGGTACATAACTTGTCCCTGACATTGGGAGGTTGGGGATCTAAAAAGAATATTATAATATATTGTAGCATAAACATGTTGGCTAGAGCATGTGGACCATGTTATATAGCCTCAGCAACCCCAACCATAAATAAACAGAGTGTCATAAATCAAGCAATCGCAATTACGAAGAGGAAGTGACCCTTTGCCCAAAGCTGGATAAACTCTGAAAACAACCATAGGAACAAGAAGTACAACAAACTGAACCAAGCATTATGGGGCTGTGGTGTTGCCTCAACTCAACTGTATGAATGGAGCAATATCTGCAACCAGTATTACAAGCAGAAATCAAAAATTACTCAACCATGAGTGCAAGGAAGAGACATTCTGCAACCGGAATTATGAGGAGGACATGGAACATTCACTCAACAATAGAAACAGTGTACATTCATCCTGTATCTGGCATTATGAAGCAATTGGATATTTTTGAGGGAATTTTACAATAGCTTTAGTATTTTTAGCATTTTAAAAGAGTTTAATAGAGAAACTAAAGAAATTTAGGTTTCTAGGTGTGATACACATACATAAAGAAATGGCGTAAGTAAAAGACACCTGTCAAGAACTAGGTGAAGCACAATTAGCTGGTTAGTTAGCATTGAGAATCACGAGTTAAGAGTTATAAAAATGAAGCTACAGCAAGGACGCTGAGAAAAACACTAGTCACAAGTCTGACAGTGATAAGTTACTGATGCTTAGTTAGTAATACAGTAAAGGCTACAAAAACGTTTATGATAGCATCTCAAATTGGTGCTTTGATGTGAGATCTGTTACTCCAGACCAGTGTAGTAGTACAAGTAAAAAGGCAACCAGAGCATTTAGCATCACAGTAACCAATTACCTGAGAGTTTGGGTTTTTGTTTTGGATTAGCCCAGGGTGTTGCACAGATTGACAAATAAAGTATTAGAACTATTTGTAGGTAATTAGGAATACTATTTGGAAAGTCAAAAGAATACAAAGAAAATATGGTTTAAAAGCTCGGGTCCTGAGCTAAAAATCAGTTTTCTTCATGAAGAATTGAGATTCTCCTACAGTTGCTAATAATCCAGAAACTATGATTATGAAAGTGTCCCAGCTTCAACGATTTACCAAGCCAACTGTGCTGTAAGTACTGAAAGTATTTCTCTCTCAGTCAATTAATGTGATTTTGAATGGATTATAAAGAATCCTATGAAAGTTAAGAAAGTAAACTATGTTATGTGTGAATTATAATTATCAGTGTTATTAACCTAAAAGTGTTCTTTTATGAAGAGTTAGCCACTGCAATCCTAAATTAGATAAATTTGTTCTAATCGACAGTATAGTCAATACTCCAATGACTAGCCCTAAGGCCACTGTCCATTACAACTACAAGGAAAGAATATCCTGCAACCAGAATTAACTAGAAGAGGGGCGTCTACTGCACACAATTACAGAAACAGAGTGGTGTCATCCTCATTCCAGTATTACGCAGAAGATCCTGCATAGGCTTCATCTGTTCTAACCAACTTTTTTATTTTTACTTTGACAGCTGTCCACCTGGGAAAAAGCCATCATGAGAAATGGAAGGAGGGAAACCAGCTTTGTCCTCTTCTCACATAGTGGATAATCATAAGTATGTATGGTAAAGTAGATTTATAAGCTCACTCAGGATGAAGCCTCCATGGTCCACCACCCCAGTGACCAGGAACTGATAAGGACTCCCATGCTCCACTAGAAGAAAAGGATGGTGGTGGGGATTTAATGCAATGGGGAGTCCAGAGGAACATCACACTGAAGAAAGTGCAATGGGTGATTCCCTATTTTGAAAAGCAGAATGACCTAACTTATTCAATCAAAGAGTTGGCAGGGATGGGACAGTCTACCATTGATTGAAACTTACTGATATCTTGAAACAATTATATATATATATATATATATATCACTGGGTACGCCACCAGTAGTGCTGTGGAACACCCCATCTCTGCAAGGAGCATTATAGTGCAATCAGTAAATAATGCAGGTTTGAGGTAAAGTATACCTGACAAGGCAACACCCTCCACAGAGTGGGATCCCATTATTAGTAGTTAAAACAGCCTGGTCATGCATAAAATGAGCAATGAAAGTATTGGGAATAGTCCACATTCCAGCCTGAATGATCTCTTCCAAAGGAAATGAAATATAACCAGGGGTGGCCAGGAACTTCTGTTTCTCTTCACTCAGGTCACTGTAGGAACTTTTGTAAAGTCTTATAAAAGGCAAGCATGGCCTAATAGTAAAGCTCAGGCTGTGAGATAAATTGAGTGCGGTGATTGACGGATGTTGTCTGTAGAACTGTGACATTATCACTTAAACCTGAAGAACGTCTCAGTACAGAAGTCGAAACGTCATCCTCTTTTCACTCAACAGGCAGTTGCAGTCTATTAATGTTGGTGGAAAGTAGTCACATCATATATACATGTTCAGAAATGGCACGAAATTGATGGGGTATATAGACTGATGTGCTGATCATGAACCTTTTTCAGCATTGCTTAAAGAGCAGATATAGATCAAGATAGATTTGGGTGAGTAGGGGTAAGACCTTACTGGAATTTAAGCAGTTTAAGAGAAAGCTTGATATCTATATGGATGATAAGGGGTGGCTTTAAGATTTTTATTTATTTATTTATTTATTAGTTTTGGTTTAGTTTAGAAGATGGAACATCTGAGATGGACCAATAGCTTCCTTGTTGTCCCTAAACATTATGTTATGTTAAGCACTGTAGCACTGACTCATGTAAATGCCCAAGAAGAAAGAGTCAAAAATGATGTATCAAAACCTAATTATAATGAATGAGTTAATATTAAGTAATAGCAGAATATCACATTGATGAAGAATCAACTTTATGCACACTGGAATGTATACACACATACATTTAGTGTACTTGAAAAACTGTATAAAACTACAAATTGTTTTCCAAAAAGAGAGAAAACAAAACTACATTGTGTTATTAATAAAAGAAAAGTACATTGATGCTATAGTAGGGGCTTTTATTTTTCACATTAGTGTAATTGCTACTTTTTACAAAACGTTAATAAAAATAATCCAAACATATTATAGATTGATGTGCAAACACTGTGACCTTACCAATACTTGTGCCAGCCTTCTATGCTGCTGGTTCAAACAACTAGGTCTTCCTTGAACATAGATGCTATCATGTAACCAAACTAGACTGGAGAACAAGAAGAGTACAGACAGAACAATACACCAACCAAATATGATGTCAGATAAGTTCTCACTAAGACAAAAAAAAAGAAAAGAGTCCTAAATAAATACATAAATATATATATACAGTTCCACTAAAACCAGGTCTCAAGCATATATATAATACAGGCTGTTAATCTAAAAGTTACATTTTTGCAACATTATATCTATGGCTGAAACACAAGTGTATATAAAAAAAAAAAAAAAAAAAAAGAAGTTCAAATCCTGACTACAAACCTACTAAAATGTTACAAAAAAACAAAGCACATACTTTAGCTATGAACCAAATCAAGTGCATAAAATACATGTAACAGTCAAAAGCTTATCAATAATCAACTCCTCAAAATTAAGCACACATCCTTCTAAATGGGTTGAACATATCAATAACTACCATTTTCTCAAGTGGCCAAATAATATACAAATACATATACAAGCCCTTACATATAATGCTGTGGCACAACTCCTTTTTTACAAAAATTCCAATATGCTTCAATCTAGGTAGAAAATAATACAGACTGATTTGCTTTTTACCAGATCCAATGACATCTACCTATAATAGATTTAAAAGCCTACAGAGAAAGCTTTATTATGCAGCATTCAAGTCTAGTACAATTTGTTTCAGTAACTGGTTCTGTAAATATTTCTACACAAAAATAATTAATTAAAGCAATAGTTTTTAAAGCAATTATTTTCATTTTTTATGAGTAGAAGTTCATTATAATGTTGTGATTATTTTTCTCATAGCAAACTTCCTAGATTTTTTCAAAAAAATAATTACATATTTAATAAATCTTTTATTGTAATTCCACTAACCTGAGTTTTATCCATTTTGATATCAAGTTGTTTTTTCATAATAAAGTGTAAAATTGAAAATAAGTATCTAAGAATGGCATTAAAAATAAACTTTTTACTTCACAAGTAATTTCATCCAAACTTCTATACATATGCACATCTCTTCTGTCGTTTAAAATATTTAATATAACTATTCAACTAACAACTACAATGTAGCCCATTTTGTCATTTGTAAAAGTATATGACTTAGGAGTAAGAAAGATGAGATGAATGTTTTATTGTTATAGGTCATACTGATATACTAGCACCTATAAGAAATCATGAAATTTAGATTTTTTGGGGGGTATGAAAAAAAAAAAGTCTCCCTATATAAATATGATGTGTTCATTTTGATGGCCACTGCTTCAAATATTCAAAATTAGATTTATTACTAGTAATGTTATGCTACTCTGTGTTTTATTGTATTACATCTTTTCAAAACTTTTCTTCTTGTTCTCTAGTATGCACATGCAACAATGAGATATTCATAGTTCTAGTATTTGGAAGACAAGTATAATGTTTTGTTGCAGATTGAATGAAAGATGACTTCTCTAGCTCAGGCTTTCTAACATACAATTCCTTTCTGGCCTAATGAAACTTGTTGATAGCCCTAGATCTCCATCTTTTCTTTTTCTCAGGAATGATCCTCTTTTCCCAGTATGAAGGCCCAGACAATGTCACATGGGTTAGGCAGTGATTTCACCAAAGCATCACATCCTTTGAATCATATACTGGTAGGATGTTGACCAAATTCTCTACTTATAGGTCGTTGACTATTGCCATCCAATCAACAAGGTTAATGGTGTTTTCACTTCACTGATAATTATATGATACGTTTTTGGTAGATGTTTCTGGATGCTCTTCTGATTCAATGTTCTATGGCAAAAAAATTGGATAAACTTTTCAGAAACTTACTAATTTTACTCTTCTTAATAGCTTAACAAACTGTTTTTTTAAGTCTGTTTCCATCAGAGGTGGATGAAAATCTCTTTTCAATGATGCTATTTCTTCTAGCAACCCTCCAACAAGCACCCACAGCATAACTCCTAGACTTTTTAATTTCAGCAGTCACTCAATGGTCATTATACATAGGAGAGATGGTGTCAGGTTGTTGAAAATGGTAGAGGACAAGGCTATCATGTAGTAGAATGGAAGTTTGTATGTTGTTTCAGAAAGTTGTACAAAGCTAAACAAGTGCTATCAAGTTTTGTTTTATTAGCTATTCCTAATTTTAAGCTAACAGACTAGAGAGAAGAAGTGAAGGTAGGTAGTCAGCAGTACCCACAACCAACTCTTGGGCTGCTGTTCCTCTTATAATGCACCAATGGTCACAAAGTGCATAGCACATTTTTGCTACAATGGGATACAAAACATGGGCTCACTGATTCACAATCCATCAGGCTAACCAATAGGCTACACACAACCACTGAAAGAAAGTACCAAAATGTATCAACCTTCAGTTTTTGAAACATCAAACAGGCTGGGGAACTCACAAGCTGAGTGGATACTCATCCTTTTCACCATCTTGTTCTATCCCTCTTCTTCAAATGAAGAGATAATCTAGAAAGTGAGAACCCATTGTGAATGGTTCACATGTCTCAGCATTAGGACTGGAGGCATATTAGTTCAAATAAACATAATAACCAAAAGAGTTTTCAATAGGTTACCCAGTTCCATGATCAGGTTCATGTTAAAAACTAAAAACTCTTCCATTCCTAATAAAAGAAAGTTAATTAAATTGCAAGGAAACAAAGTGGAAAAATGTTCATAGTCTGAAAAAAAATGATCAATTTGACTATTGCTTGATCCTATGTCCAACAGACAAAAGAAATGAGGTAGCATCATTTTTCCACCTATCTTATGAGAATTCGACAGTTCAAGGTTCAGCAAAGAAAGGTGAGTGGCAAAACTTACAACTTAACTATATATTGAAATTTCCTGAAATTCTCAATAAGTAGCTGAATTTAGAAGTTTCATGCATACATAATAAAACAAATATTCTTTCTACAGCAATTTAGACAGACTTATAATCCATCCTAAAACTAAAACTTATACTTTACATGTTCATTAATATGTAATATTTAAGTGCTGTTTTCCCTGCAGACTAACGCCCAGTTCTCAGGTATAAAGAGAAACAGCACTCAATATGGCAATTTTTCTGAATGACACAAGAAATTGGAAAAGATTAATTGTAAACCATAGCTAAAGGTTTGTAATTAGATTGCTGCAGCAAAAAACTTCCACTACTGACATATGTAGGCTATAGTATTACCTATGCTTTGCCTTACTTGTCATGTGTTCTAAGGTAAAGTGGACATAAAACTCTGGTGCATATGCAATAAGAATGGAAATACAGAGCATTAAACAATGTTATGTTCTGTTCCTTTGGTAACACACTAACTGAGAAGAATGTTTATCCTTACATTTGAAATATCTCCAAATATTTTCAAAATTATTACACATTTGCTTTTTTATGCTATACATACCTGCAACTGCCAAAGTCAGCTTTCCTGAGATAACTTCTTAGAGTATAGACAAAAGTGCTACCTTTATTCTTTATCTGCTAACTATACATTTGTAGCATTTCTTCTTTTACTTAGTTATCTTGGACATAGGTGCTATGATTAACTTGTATATTTTGAGTGTGATTTTATAAATGTTTACCATATGTAAGCCTGGCATAGTTAAGGGACAGGTAGGATAAATGGGTGTCATTGCCCCAGGCACCCTGGATCGAAAGATTCCCTCTGATTAAGAGAAAAATACAAAAGATAAATCCAAAACCGGATGCCTTATTGAAAAACATATATGTGCATCTGTGTTACTATGATAACAGTGATTTTAGTCATTTCATATAAACCTATTATTTCATAATTTTTCATTAACATGTTCTTTCAGTGTGTTCTTCCATGAATATTCGCTTGACTGTTTAACAACAAAAAATTGCTGTTATTAACTTACATTTATTATGAATATTAGAATTAGTAAAACCTAAAATATTCTAATATTGTGTAATATCTACCCATTGTTTGTGTTTGTGTGTTGTTCAAATAGTTAATAAATAGTACAGACTTATTCATGAAGTTCAGTTTTGAGCCCCCCCCCCTTTTCAAAATTTGACCCAGGCTCCTCAAGTCTTTTTAATCACTCCTGCATATGTGCACAACATAAACATGTGAATGTTAGTTACTAGTTAGTAGGAAATTTAAATGCAACAAAACAGTCACTGTGACACACTTTTTCAATGTTAGAATTTTACTTAACCCTTTTACAGTTCACCATACCCAACATCATACAAAATAATTCAACATCCTTGAAATTCTTATAGAATAAAAACAATAAATAAATAAATACTGTCTTTCTAGTGTAAACCACGATTAGCATATTATGTAATATTGAAGAACATGGACATATTATATAGTGTTCTTACTCTCTCTATTTTATTCTCTTATTTTTTCAATGAATTGCAAAGATACAATGAAATTCCCCTATGATGACTTATGTTTCTTCAACCAAACTTTACTACACATTCATTCTGTATCCTATATGTAGGCTTCATCTTTATTTTTTTCAGAGTTTGAATACAGGTGTTTGATACATAAAATCAGAAATGTGAGTTCTCCATGCATGTTTAAGTTACAATTATCAAATGTTCTGAACATAATATTTCCAACAATGTTAATCATGTTTTAGGTATTCTTGTTATTATTAATTTCCTGTTTAACTACTAATGTTATAGGTTCTCTTCTTATCACCATGTGTTATTTCTAACAGTATTAACTAAGTAGTTAATGCAACATATTTGAAAGATATTTCATCAAGAGACTCCACCCAATAGCTGTTCAAGTAATGGATGCAACACTCTTCCAGTTGTTAATCTCATAGTCACACAAGCTGCATGCAACACAACCACCTTATTAGCAGAAACATAATAAATAATAAGTACTTTGCATTGCAGAAATGCCACATCATTTTAATAAGGTAGAATTGTGATTTCACAAGTGTCCTAATTGCAGAGCTTTATCTCTCACTTCCAGTTGTAGTAGTTTGAAAGGCAATGTTGCTAATATGGCTGTGCATCTCAAGGTATTCATCACTTTTTGTTTTTTTCTCTTTCTCTAAAGAAAGAGAGGAGGATCAGCTCATTTCTATCTTCCCC